ATACATGATTTGTAACACCACACATTGATCATTTGGCAGATACTGGTTCACTGAGTTATACAGATTTTCCAAATGCTAACTTATTTTATTATACATCAAAAAAATCGCATTTGTCAATATCACCATCAATTCCATCAGAGTAGTCTTTCTATTCTCTTACACAATGTATTGGGAAGCTGTCAAGCTCAAGGTGGTGAATATAGTTTTCCAAGATTCTAATTTTTATTTTCATTTGTAATTTATCTTCACTTGGATTTTATCTTTGGCAATAACTACTGTCAATTGTTTTCTTTGAAATGATAGGTTTACTTCATTTTTTTAAACATGCCTGTCATATACCCAAGTGTGAATAACCACCATTTGTCTGTTAGTCGTTCTTTCAAGCAAAAATGGTATTCCATTAAAAAAAAAGAAGCATGTAGTTGAGTGAAGCAATTGTACAAGTGCTTTTCCTAAAAACATCCATGATATGGAACAAAAGTGCTATGTGTATTTTCCATTTCTTCACAGACAGTATTAAAAAGACCTATACTTGAGGGTCAAAAGTTAACAAAATTAATAATTTTTACTTCTTCATCAAAGATATTCTTAAATAAGAATGGCTTTTTTTTGCTGCATGTACATGTTTTTAAAAATACAATAACTACTAGTACAGTTTGGTGCCACTGCCTTGATTCATTCTAAAGCAGTAACGTTTTTACCCACCATCGCTTTTGCACCATCAGTGCAAATGTCAACAGATTTTAAACAAGCAAACAAGCCGGGTATAGTGGTTCGCACCTGTAATCCCAGTTACTTGGGAGGCTCAAGCAAGATAACTCCTTGAGTCCAGAATTCAAGACTAGCCTGGGCTAGTTTTGGGCAAGACCCATTTCAAAAAAAATTAAATTAAAAAAAATTTTTAAAGGCAAATAAGCTATTAGTATAATTATGAAAATAGTTTTGATCTCAGATTCCTAAAAGGGGTCATTTGTTACAATAAAAAAACTTTACATGATTACATATAAATCCTGATCTATGTATGAAAGCAATATTAAGCTCTATGCATTAAACAACATGAAGAGAAATCTATAATTGATATCTATTATAAATCTATAATCACATTAAACTATGACCTGCATATGGAATGTGTTATTTGAACAGAATAATTCTATTCACAGATAAACCAATAAGGAAATTATAGTCCAAGTAATGTTGCCCTTCTGCCAAGGTCAGAGACAAGTCAAATTCCTATTAGAAAATTACTATTTACTCAGTTTATGTGGCATTATCATATCCATAAATGTTACCCAGCCTGTTAAATGTCCAAGGGTATTGCTTTTTTAAATATTCAGTTGGTTATGTGTGGAGGTAAAATAGAAAGGCATTTAAGAAACCTGTTGTTTGTTTAACAGTTTAAAACAACAAATTGTCAATAACTGTATGTCCTTTACTCTGTTCTAAACAGAAAAATGTTCAGTGTCTGAACAAATAGCAATAACTATGTAAATGAAGCATATATATACATACATAGCAAAAAAATAAAAAGTAAAATTGCATACCATGCAGCAGAGTTCAAAAGAGTCAAGAAAAGCAGACTCTTTGTTTTATTTGGCTGGTATTTGCATAGCTAATTTGTTTTATAATGATTTACTTATAATTCCATGAATGTTACCTCTTAAATTTTCTGAATGTCAGATCACCTCCTCTCCGCCTCCACTCCCAGTGCCTTACTTCATATCCTTATACCTTTCACTTGGATTGTTCAAAATCCTCTTTATAAGTGGCCTCCTTGTATCCAATCATACACAGTATCAGGCATCTATTATTTTGCCTTTCTAAAATTTCTGGCTTCTCTTGGGATTAGCATTCATCCCTCTCCCTACCCCCATACTTACGAAAACCGATCCCACTAGCCATGTGATTAGAAAGGGAGCTGTCATTTTCCTAGGTAACCCTATAACCACAGCCTCAGTGAGTGGTCAAGAGGTGGGCACCAAACCTAAGCAGGGCCAATCACAACACTCCATTTCCTAGGCCAGAGTAATTTTATAGATGTTTAGCATCTATACTCAAGGATTAAACAACATACTCAAATAGCAAGTAAGTGATAAAATGAATTTTAAACCCAGTTCTGCTTGCTCCCAGAGCCTGTGATTATGTTATACTATAATAAAAAATCAGAATATTTAATTAGTTTATACATAGCATTCAATTAGATAATTTATGTACAT